GTAAACTATAGATAACTAGTGCTGATTTCATGCCTTATTTTTCTCTCTTTCTTTTCTCTACAAAACACAAGGACTAAGAAAAGAAATAGTATAATAAGATTTGATGGAGACAAAAACAAACTCAATCATACTCATGAATGTGAATGTTCTGAACTCACCCATAAAATGAAAGAGGGCATCAAACTGTATCAGGAAGGAAAACCCAGCAATGTTGTTAACAAGTAACATACTTAAAAACATTAATATTCATAAGAAATTTAAATTGAGTATTGGAATGGAATTTATTCAGCTCTGTTCAAAACAGGAATGGTAGTCATTATTTCAGATATAGCAAGAATATGTACATATATATACATATATATGTAAATATATGAGAAAGACAAACAGGAAACTATAAGCAATAAGATAATTATTCCTATGAAATATACACGTAACAAGTGGTATAACATCTAAGTACCTAAAGGAAAAGTTCATTGAGCTACATGAAGATCCGGATAGTAAAACAATGATTGTTACAGACTTCAGCATCCTTCATTCAAATCTAAATCAAAGTTTAAAAAAAAATTAAAAATCGGAGAGGGTCCAGGACAGAGCATCAGGAGACCCTCATGATTAATGGGAATGATGTGAACGAAGATGCAGAAAGGGAGTCTGAGAATGAGTGAATGGTGAGGCAGGGAGGAAGAGAACCAGAAGTGCCTTGGCAATGAAGACACTGTCCACTTCCAGGGAAGAACTGATCAATAGAAGTACGCATGGTATGGTTCTACATATCTTTGTAAATCTGCGTCAAATGGTGACCTTCTCTAGTCTGGAGCGGGGGGGAGGAGGAGGGAGACAACTTAATGTCACAAAAGATAAACTAAAAAAAGATTTGGCGGGGAAGAGATCATTGGTTACTTGGGTGTGGGGATGAAGTTTCAGTGGAATGATGATCTCAGAAGTCAGATTGCAGAGAGTCTAGAAGAGAGGAGGTGGATACATCGAGGAAGGGAGGTTTTCTCAAGCTCTCTGAGAAGAGGAGGAGAGGTATGAGACAACAGTTTTCTAAAGTGGAATTGGCTCCTTTGTGAGGGGTTGGAGTCACCTCCGCCTTTCACAGGCGTTTTTGAAGCCAAGGATAATGGTCACTTTGGGGGCCTTCTTTACTGGGGACACTAATTAAGGGCAGACTCCATGGCCTTTGAGGTCTCTTCCAATGCCAAGAATCTTCAAGCCAGATCATTAGGGTTTTTGAGTCAGTGGCAGTAGCAAACAGAGGCAGAGACTGAGAGAACTGCACCTGGCATTGAAACTCATTAGTTTCCCAGTTCTTCTTCCTGGGAAAGCAAACAATAATAAAACAAACATACAGGGGAGAAAAGCCACAAACAAACATCAGGATGGTGCTGTTGTGTGCTAAGAGAGCTGACTGAAGGCACAGGTAAGACAGGAGACTACAGGAGCCACAGGCCCCAGATCTGACCGTTGGGCAGTTATGTATCAGTTTAATTAATCTTAATTCGATCCACTCTCACTTCAGCACCTCCGCTGCTAAAGATGGAGAGGCGTTCTGGCAGAGCACAGAGAGGGACCGTGGTGGAGGCAGGCAGAACCCACTGCTGGCCTTCCCTCCCCTCCCTTCCCCCACACGCCGGCTGCATGATCCTGGTGAGAAAGTGAACTCGTTGAGGACTCCTGCAAAATGAGAGTTCAGGCTCTATCAACGTTAGCCAATTCATTATGATTTCCTATGGGGTAATGATTGTTAGTAATTATCTTCATCTATTCATCTCGTAATACATATCTAGTCAATCACCTAATAGTAGGCATAAGAATAAGCAATGCGTTCGTCCATACTTTGTATAAGTCATACGGGAATACAGATTCGACTAGCAGGGACTTATAACAGGCCTCAAACGTTAATGTCACGTTCACAACTTGTTCACCAGCTATGGAGCTCACCACAAGAATGCTCACAAAGCTTCTCCAAACCGTTTTGCTCACATTCCATGGTCAAACCAAGCATGGGCGGATCTATGGTACAAAAAGTCCCCCAGCTCCCTCCCGCCAGGTTCTTGGAGCACACGTCTGGCTTGTCCTTTCTCCCAACCTTAGGAGCAGTGGTGACAACCTAGCCAGTGGAGATATTTCCTGCTTTGCCCAACCAGTGACCCCGCTGATATTTTGCTTTGCTTCTGCACCCCATGTCAACCAATGGAATCATTCTGTTTTTGGTACAGCCATTCCTGAGTGTTTTCAGGGGTGAGGAACCTGTAGCCTCAAGGCTACATGTGGCCTTCTAGGTCCTTGGGTTCGCCTTTTGACAGAGTCTAAGTTTTACAGAGCAAATCCTTTTATTAAAGGGATTTGTTCTGTGAAGTTTGGATTCAGTCAAAGGGTCACTCGTGGCCTCGAGGCCCCAGGTTCCCCATCCCTGCCATACCTAGCCCTATAAAAAGAGGGCCCTGGAAGGAGGGGTATCTCAGATCCTGAGGTCCACTTCATTACAGGGGATTGTGGACCCTTTAATCAATTGCCATTGGCTCAGAGCCCTGCCTCGGTCTCTTCTATTGTAGGCTGGACGATTTTAACCCCCGCACTGGGCAAGTCACAGAATTAGGCAGTGGCCTAGGCAGCCCTCCGACTCCAAGTTATAGAGAAAGTGCTCAGCTGCTTTGGTAGAAGCAAGTTCTTCACAGAAGTTTCTCAAAGCAATGAAATCACAGGGCTGGTCTTCCAAATTAGAACAAAATAAAACATTCAGGACTCTGAAAGAAAAACGAATAAAACAAGTCTTGCCCTCATGGGCCTTACAGTCTAATAGGGGAATACAACCTAATGACAACTATCATACAAGATCAAGCAGAGGGCACAGAAATCCCTCTTTGCTGTGTGAACTGTGAAAGGGTTCAGGTAGGAAAAGGCCCACCTGAAAAGAACAGGAGGGGACAGGTAGGGAGGTGCCCACACAGACGGGAGGGATGCAGGCTGGCACCCAGGGAAGAGGGCAGGATTCAAAATAAGAGCATAAAGCCTCGATCCCAGGTCTGCCTAATGCAGCTGAGAAGGGCCTGAAGGGCCAAGCTAAGGAAGTCTGGTTATGCGAGAGCCCTTGCTGTTGGCTTGTCCAGCAGTCTAGAAGACCACGACATCAGGGAGGGGCTGCCATGACACGCAAGTGAATTGGATGTAAGTGAGGCAGGGCTGGGCAAAGTCACCAGCCTCACTTGAAACTTTTGTTTTTGTTTTAGCTTTTTCCCTTAAAGACCAGCCTCAACGCCAAATCACTTTGGTCCCAGACAAAGCCCTGTAAAGTCACCAGCTTCACTCTCTCCTCCGGCGCCATCTGGGCCCAGTGGAGAGATATGGATCAGGACCGGAGATGGCCCACGGTGCAGGGGGGGGACCGTGGCCATTTTCAAGTGAAGGTCTCAGTTTGACTGAGGCAACACCCATTCAGTGACTAAGGCTAGGTAAGAAAGGAGCCAAGGCATGGCCCTTTTACCTAATCAAATTAAAGAAACAAATCCACCTGGGAGGGAGAGAACAAAACACAACCGTTGTCGACATTCGCTCTCAGCCATCAGGGCCCAAACGGTGACCACTAGTGGCCTTGGCCTGGGACCTGTGCTGGTCAGTCACTGAGAACCAGTGTGGTTAAGGCTGGTCCTTAACAAGTTTAAGAGATGAAAATTTACATTCCCTCGGGCAGAGCATCCGCAGGTAAGGGTGTGACACCCTGCGTGGATGGAGGCAAGGGAGGAAAGAAGTAAAGAGAGAGAGAAAAAAAGAAAAAAAGGAGGGAGGGAGGAGAGAGAGAGAGAGAAAGAAAGGAGGGAGGAAGGTAAGTGAAAGAGAGAGGAAAAAAGGAGAGAGGGAGGGAGGAAAAAGTGAGAGAAAAAAGAAAAAAGGAGGGAGGGAGGAGAGAGAGAGAGAGAAAGAAAGGAGGGGGGAAGGTGAGAGAGGAAAAAAGGAGAGAGGGAGGGAGGAAAAAGTGAGAGAAAAAAGAAAAAAGGGAGGTAAGTGAAAGAGAGGAAAAAAGGAGAGAGGGAGGGAGGAAAAAGTGAGAGAAAAAAGAAAAAAGGAGGGAGGGAGGTGAGTGAAAGAGAGAGGAAAAAAGGAGAGAGGGAGGGAGGAAAAAGTGA